GTTCACTGAAGGGGCCATGATTTCCTTGGGAAACACCTCTGGGACCCTCTTTGTGTCTGTTCCTAGAAGAGCCATGGTGTTCTCGATGGCCAGCTTCCTCCCGCGGCGCGCGGAGCTGTTGCTGGCGCCATGCGTCATGTAGTGAACCTAGGGGAAGAGGGACAGAAAGGTTCCCACCGGAACCGAGGTGTGAATGCATGCTGGCAAGCCACAGTCAGCCTGTGTGTGGGTTTGGTTCTATCCAAACAGTATTAACATAATTTATACTTAAAAATTAGATTTCATATTTAAAAAACCAGATATCTGTTCTCTTGAGGGGGGGAAAAAATTTAGATGCTTGTACTACCTACTGCTTCTTCAACTCCTTTCTGCAATTACTTTTCTGGTTCTGCTTGAATTCTCAACCCCCTTTCAGCTTCTTTAAAAAATTGAAGCGGTACCAGGCTTTCTCATTTCACCTTCACCGACATCCTTAGTAGTCGGTAGTTACCTCATAGAGCTCTGAAGTGACTCGCTCTTTATCACTCTAAGAAGCTGTTAAGATGCTGCAGGCATAATTCGAAACACTTTATTATACAACTCATTTCATCTCCAGGACAAGCCTGAGGCCACCGTTACCAGGATCCCCACGCCTGGGAACCCCAGGAACAAGGAGCACCTGCCTCAAGCCCCCAGTGCAGCGAGAGCAGCTCCAGACCTCCCCTGGCCGATGGCAGGGCCAGTGATCCAATGTAAGCTTTTGTGTTTCTGGGAGTTGTATTAGAGCTGAAGTTACTTCATGTTCTTCCTCCCGCAGTTTTGCCATTTGGACGGAAAAGAATAGCTTGTTTTGTAATAAGTATTTTCAATTTTTAAAATGACATATACAGTTGTCTCCTAGGTCATCTTTAAGATGAAGTTCCGATCTTTATTCTAACTACAAAGAATTAAACGAGTGTTCTACTCTGGAGAGGGAGGGAAAGAGAACCAGAGAAACATGCCTTGCGTAAAACCAGAGGCCAGGCCAAGAGGAACACTCAGGTCCCCAATTTCCATCCTGGGTCCTCATGCAGGCCACTTCCAATCCTTACGTGGGAGGGTCTTCTCTCCATCTCCTGTGTGAAATCTTAGGTGGAAGCACCTTGTCATGTAACAATAGGCCGTAGAACCAGCTGTTCTATTTTGAAACGCACTGCTGATGACCTGGAGGCACACTGCGGTGGTACTTTGTTGTATGTTTAACAGATGGCATTCTTTTCAAACTAGCAGCCTCAGAAGACAAAAGCAACGTACAGTGCAGGGTGGCCATCACATGATTGATCAATTCTACGTTACTACACGACAGACACCATCTATGATTTCACACATCTACTAAACGATTGCTGAAGGGCAGCATGGTCTGCCCAGCCCCGGAAGGACAGTGGCCTACGCTAAACTTAACACCAAGAGAGAGGAGCAGAGTGCAGACTTTGTGTCCTCTCCTTGACGACGCCCCTTGTCACATGTGTCATGATTTTAGCTGCCACTGAGATTAGAAAAGAATCACTGATCACAGACAGACAGCAAGAAGCATCCAGTATCAGAGATGCCAGGATAGAGAGAGCCAGGGAGGAGGTCGAGCCTGTAACCGAGGTACATGCCCTTGACCAGAACTGAACCAGGGACCCTCCAGTCCACAGGCCAACACTCTCTCCACTAAGTCAAATTTGCCTAAGACAAGAAAATTTACTTCTTTTTAAAGAATATTTCTTTGAAGAGCCAGTTTTGAAGTGTAATATCCCATTTGCTCCTACTAGAAGGTGTACTATGGATGGAGAACACCAAGAGATGCCTCTCCACACCTGGGTCCTATCCCTGCTGAAACCCTAGGGAACTCACCTTCAAGTTGCCTTTGGTGGTGAAAGCTCGCCCACATACGCTACACACGAAAGGCTTCTCCCCAGTGTGAGTCCGCTCATGAATCTGGAGGGCGCTGGCGGACGAGAAGTTCTTCCCGCACCGCGTGCAGGCGTGCTGCTTGCCCTGGCGGCGTGGCTGGGCCGCCCGCAAAGGTGCCATGCCTGGGGACATGGGCGCGGGTCCAAATGCACCAGGAACTTCCACTTTGACAAAGGTTGGCTGGGCTCGGACAAATGCTGATGGGAGACTGCTCCGACCTAGTGCGCAGAGAAAAGAATCCCAAAACTTTATCACCCCAAACTCATTCACACTTCAAACCAAAAAAGAACTTTGAAAACTCCTGCCCACCACTCGACTTCCTGGAAAGGGCTTTCAGGAAGTTCACACCCCAGAAGCAGCTCTCCTTTGACTTTACCTGTGCGGAGAATGATCATGACTCACACACTTAGGAAATTTTACCATTTTGCTGTAAAGGTATGTAACACATAACATGCATTCAAGTCCAAATCCCTATATAAAGAGTTACCCTGAAGTATGACCAGGTGCCCACCCTTCTCTATGATGTAGTTGTTCCCCCATTTTGCCATTAATGACATCAATAGGCACCCCTCCATTTATATGTGCATTTCAAAAGGGTTAGATTCTTTTTTTACCCCGAGTTATTCATTTGTGAACCTCACACTAGGGAGTGGGACCTCAGAATCAAGAAATTATGGTTTGTCTCAGCGGCCAAATAACAGTGCCCACTTCCTCAAAATTCTTCTACTCTTTAAGATTACCCTTATGTCCCCACAGGGCTCAAACACAAAAATAAAAACAAACAAACAAAAAAGCCCACTGTCCATAGCCAACGTGCATTAAATCAAAGATGGCCTTACTGGGATAAAGGAAGTTCCTCTTTCCCTCCACCCAGAAGTGCAGAACGGCTCCCTGCCCTACAGAGGATGCTTCACATTTATCACACTCTCCGTTTGCCAAGTTCAACCCAGGTTCCTTTTGGATGACCTTGTGCCTGAAATGGACATAAGTTAAATCCAAAGCTCTATCACCTTCCATCTCAGTGCGGCTGCTGTCCGAGCTGTCTGCTCTGCCACCAGCATCAGGAGACTTGGACTTGATGCTTTCTGCTTGGCTATTGGCCGGGGAGAGGGCCTGAAAGGAGGTGGCCTCCAGGATGTCTGGACTTCGGCTCTGATACTCCTGGTCTCCCATCACTGAGGAAGAGGAGTCGTTGGTCAAGCCATCGCTCTCCACCGAACCGTTCTCTCGGCTGCTCTGTCGCTGCAGGACCAGAGGAGCAGGACCCAGCTTCCCCGAGGCCTCCAGGGGGGCCATCAAGGTGAACCCTGTTGTGGGCGATGCCGAGTGGATGCCGGAAAGAGGCAGGGGGACCTTCGAGGAGCTGCTGGGAGCATCTTGGGAGCCGACTTCATCAACATCGATGCTTTCGACAATGTCGTCGTGACAGACAGCACCTGTGCTGCCGTTCTCACCCACCATCATCAGCTCGGGACCCACCAGGTCACAGGGACTCTCCGGCAGGGGTGTGTTGGGAATCTGACCACCCATGTGCATCCGAATATGCTGCTGCAACATGACTGCGTTGGTAAACTTCTTCTGGCAGATGGGGCACGAGTGCTGCGTCTTTATGGACGTGTTGGTTCGGTGAACCGCAAAGTGTGTCTTCAGGTTGCCTTTGGTGGAGAAAGCTCGGTCACAGATCTTACAGCGGAAGGGCCTCTCCCCAGTGTGGGTTCGGTAATGCATTTTGAGGGAGCTTTGGCAGCTTAAGACCCGGTGGCAAATGAGACATTCGTTGGGGTCTGTGGTGGCCTTGTCAATGTTCTCAACCAGCTGCTGCAACTTCATGGTCTCTGACCCTGGCTCGGGTGTCCCTCTCCCTTGGAAGCCACCAACCCTTGGGGAATTATGGTTTGGCCCCACCCCAGAGAGTAGGGATCCATCCTCACTTTCTGGAGACGGCCCGGGCTGCAGGTCGGGGACCAGTGGGCCCCCCATTAGGTCCTTGGGGTTAGTCCCCGAAGAGAGGTTCTGAGGTAGACCTACATTGGGGGTCCCTGTGACCAGGACAGGTTTGCTGTCTAGAGAGAGACTCGATTCATCTATGGGGACAGGTACAGAGAGTGCATAGGGAACGCCATTGCCTGCTGCCATTTTGTCGTGGAACTCGGTAAACAGCTGGGGGTTCGCCTTCACCTGGGGGTGTCGATGAAAGTGTACCTTGAGGTTGCCCTTGGTGGTGAACCGGTGGCCACAGACAGAGCACACGAAGGGTCTCTCTCCAGTATGGGAGCGGAGGTGGATCTGCAAGGAGCGGAACTTCGACTTTGACATAGGTTGGCTGGGCTCGGACAAATGCTGATGGGAGACTGCTCCGACACTTGTGCCTGTAGAGGGTGGCCTCGTCTTTGGGTTTGACATCCACCGGGGACACGTTGAGTGGCTTCCCTTTCCCTTTCTTAGACGGGTCTAACGCCACCGTGGAGAAAGGGCTCTGGAAGAGCACAGAGCTTGGGGTCGGGGGTAGCAAAGCACCGGGGATGTGGTTTGGGAGCACCCTTGTCCATCTGGCCTCAGGGCAAAGGACAGCAGCCCTGGGGACACCGAGCTGGTGGTGGAAGGGATGCTTGTGTGAGGTAGCTTGGCTTGTTTCAAGGTGTCCAGGGACAGACCCTGGCTTCCAGCTTTCTGGCTGAGCAAAGCCACGGCTGCAGAGACCTGCTGGGACACGTGGCTGCCCAAGGTCTTCAGGGTGTCAGCTCCCGCTGCGCCCGAGTGGAGGGCATGGGCGGCCCACATGTTCACCTGGACTCGGATCTGCTCGGTGAGCTGGATCTGCTGTAGCTGCTGCTGCTGCAGACACAGGATCTGCTCCAGGACCCACGGGATGCTGTTGGCACCGGGCAGGGGGGCGGGCAGCGCGTCCGCGCTCCGCTGATTCACTGCCACCTTGGTGCCCCGTAGTGCTTGAAGAGTGACGTTAGTGTTGGCCACTTTGCCTTTGGGTAAATAGCTTAAGTCCTGGGCTGTGGGTGGCAGGGCGGGCTCCGTCTTTAAGTACAGGACAGACTCCGTCCCTGGCTTCTCCTTCATGTCCCCTGAGCTGCTGCCATTCTCCCTGTGACTGTCCTTAATGCTTGGACTGTGTGGCTGGTGGCTCAGCCCAGCCCCTGAGAAGTCTCCGGAAGGCGTCAGCCCCTCGATGTTGTTCATGATGAGGACAGGTGGGTGTTTAGTGCAATTTTTATGTTCTAAGAACTCAGAGATGCTGAAGAACTCTCCGCAGCATTTCTCACAGATGTGAGTCTCCTCCTGACGAGGCCTCTTTACTGTCGCCCGGTCCCCATTCATGTCATCGCCAGTCCCCGGGCAGTTCACTGAAGCACCTGTGAAGAGAGGAAAAGCTAAGAACTCTGTTCAAGGAAGGAAGAGAGGCAATGTCTTGGGAAGAACCATGACCACACACAATGCATCAGTCTGTGTAAGGAAATCAAATATATAAAGAGTCTGAAAAACCAACCACTTACATAGTGGGTCAATGAATGTCCTTCTAAACATGTCTATTATTTTTAATTGATTTTTTTAAGAGGAAACATTGATTTGGTATTCCACTTATCTATGCATTCTTTAGTTGCATCTTGTATGAGCCCTGACCAGGGATCAAACACGCAACCTTAGCATATCGGGACGACACTAACCAACTGAGCTACCTGGCAAGGGGGCAAATATGTCTAAGCACTAACTCCAGCACATGTGTGTGTGACCTTACTTATTAGGAAGAGGAACTTTGCAAATGTAATTAGCATGAGTCCCCTGCCCAACGCTTATAAAGGAAAGGGAGATTAGAGACAGGGAAAAAGGCTGGGTGAGGGAGTTATGTGCTATAAACCAAGGCTGCTGGCTTATAGAAGGTAGAAAAGTAGGAGCCAATAGAAAGCAGGACAAAGGCAAGGGACAGATTCTCCCTCAGAGCTTCCAAAAGGAATCGAACCTGCCAACACCCTGACTTTGTACATTTAGCCTCCAAAACCATGAGGGAATAAATTTCAGTTGTTTTAAGTCTCCCACTTTGTGGCAATTGATTCCAATAGCCCTAGGAAACTCATACAATTTATCTATATATGTAAAAGGCTAATATGCAGTGTCCCCTTGGGAGTTCGACCAAGAGACTGGGAGTTCGATCACTTGCTATGACATGCGCTGACCACCAGGGGGCAGTGTGAAACGAAGGAAGGCCCCCGATTGGCCCCAATCGCCAGCCAGGCCTCTAGTTATAACTGCCTTCACAGATTTCACCCCACTCAAAGCAGGCCTTCTGATGGCAAATGGATTTCATGCGGTCAATGAAAATTATGTTAGAAACTAGAGGCCTGGTGCACAAAATTTGTGCACTGGGGGTAGGGGGGACGGGTGTCCCTCAGCCCAGCCTGCACCCTCTCCAATCTGAGACCCCTTGGGGGCAGTCGGACATCCCTCTCAATCCGGGACTGCTGGCTACCAACTGCTCGCCTGCCTGCCTGATCATCCCCTAACTACTCCCCTGCCAGCCTAATCGACGTCTAACTGCTCCCCTGCAGGCCTGGTCCCCCCTCAACCGCCCTCCTCTGCCGGCCATGTTTGTGCAAGGATGTGATGGTCAATTTGGATATTACCTATTTATTATATAGGATGTGAACCCTAAGGGAAAAAAAAGTCACTAACAAGGGATCAAATTAAAACAAACAAACAGAGCTTTGCAGCCTTTTCTGCACAGGGACCTCTCACACATACTACACTTCACAGAGAAGGTGGAGTTGGACTGCCTGCCTCTGGGCTAAAGTGCATGTCCCTATAAAGCAGTTCCTAGAATCCTATTTCAGTCAATAAGATGGAAGCTTTCCCCCTCCAATCGGAGCTGTGCAGCTCCTGCCAATCAGCTCTATTCTGACCAATCAGGGACCAGGGGCAGGGACTTCTGTCCATGTAAGCCAGCTCCCCTCAAAGCCAATCCAGCACTGGCCCGTCAATAAAAGGTTTGATATGGTGGGCTATTAAACATGTATAATCAGCCCTGGCCAGGTAACTGTTTTGGAGTATTGTCCCAATAAGCCAAGCTTGTGGGTTCTATCCCAAGCCACAGCGCATACATGAAGCAACCAATGATATGTAAATAAGTGCAATGACAAATCGACATCTCTCTCTGAAATCAATAAATAAAATTTTAAAAGCCATGTGTAATTACAACAACTTCATAAGGCAGATGTCTGGGTTAAGTGATTCATTCAACAAATGCTTGAGCACCTACTGTGTGTTTAGCACCAACCATCCTAGGATCTGTGAAAAGTACAGATACCATAGATATTCAGTGAACATTAGTTCCCCCACCTCTTCTATTTATTTTTAATCCCCACCCAAGGACATGTTTATTGATTTTAGAGAGGAAGAGAGAGAGAAACACCCATCAGCTGGCTCCCATAGCCACTCTGACCGGGGATGGAACCTGCAGTCCAGGTATATGCCCTGACCAGGAATCAAACCCACAACCTTTTTGGTGTATGGGAAGGTGCTCCAAACAAACAAGCCACCTACAAGGGCTCTTTGAAAAAAAAATATTTTCTATCCCCCCTCCCCCCACCTATTTCTAAAGGTGGGCAACTAGGGCTGCTGAAAACAGTCTTGACTAGCTCATTTAATACTTCTCACCTTCTAGGATGAAAAGATAGGCTTCCAGCCTCCAGTATTCTGACTATGCACCAATAGGTGCCCCATAAACACTACACTTATTAAAACCCAGGCAGGCAGCACCCACACCTCCATTTGAACTCTTCCTTTGTTCTTGCACTTCCTATCACGTTTCTTCTGTTGAGAATGCAACTATCTTTCCTCTCACAGAAGCTCCAGGGGGGACAGGAATGCCTGAGGAGTCAGGTTGGCTGGGGTAGTGGGGGTGGCTAGAGCATAGGTTACCACCTTTCTGGGACACCCAGAAGTTAACTTTAAAGTTAGGACACACCCTAGCTGGTTTGGCTCAGTGGACAGAGCATTAGCCTGCGGACCAGAGTCCCAGGTTTGATTCCGGTCAAGGGCACGTAACTCGGTTGCAGGCTCCTCCCAGGCCTAGGCCCAGGTAGGGGCTTATGCAGGAGGCAAGCAATCCATGTGTTTCTCTCACACCGATATTTGTCTTTCCCTCTCTTCCACTTTCTTTAAAAAATCAATGGAAAAATATCCTCGGATGAGGATTATAAAAAATAATAAAATAAAATAATATGGTTAGGACGTAATGCAGCTCTGAGCTTCCAGGTGGTGCTCAACAAGGAGGTACCGCCTTCCTTCTTGTCCCAATACTGTTCCCCAACTGTCATTATTTCAAGAATCAAGTTAAAAATACTTGTCAACTTCTAGAACACAGGCAGCACCTATGGCACACTTCCCCAAGATCTGAAATGCTCAGTGCTGGTGTTGCTCAGTGGTTGGAGCTCTGGGCCTCAAACCAATGAGTTTCAGGTTCAATTTGCAGTCCCCTGATCTATGTGTCTCTTTCACAGCTATGTTTATGTTTCTCTCTCTTAACTCCCTCCTATCCCTTCCTTCTATTCTCTCTAAAAATAAATGGGAAAAATACCCTGGGGTGAGGATTAATAAACTGAATATACTTTTGTACTATGGTTTCTTTTTAATTAGCATAGTTACACCCTTTGTCTTAACCACTCTACTTCTGGAAATCTCCAGGAAAGCCCACCCCACAATGCCCAGTTCACTTTGTAAGGGTCTGAACAACAAAATATACACTCTGATACCCAAACCACTTATCTTTGCAGCCACATAATCAAACAAGTCTTTGCTCCCATTTGGAAGATGTGGAAAGTGAGACTCAGAAACAATTAAGTAGCTCAATGGGACAAACGGATAACCAGAAAACGGAAGAGCGGGGATTGTCTTCTTAAATACTATACGGGCAGTTCTGTGGCCTCATTTATCACTGTTTCTTCTAGAGCAGAGCTTCTCCAACTTTTTCTTTATTTCACCTCTCTATAGAGTCTTTTAAAGCATCTTTTTTCCTAATCACCCCCTTGACATGACATTTTAATGCCACAAATACATTGTATATCTGGTCATGCACTGTGATCCTTTGGAAGGCCACAAACCACTGTAATATTCATCAATGTTTTTGACACCCCCCACCCCAAAAAACACCTTCTACCCTCTTGGGGATAATATTCCCTCATTGAGGCTAGGAAGGTGTGGCTCAGTGGTTGAGTGTCAACCTTGGAACCAGGAAGTCACAGTTGATTCCCGGTCAGAGGTCATGCCTGCGTTTCAGGCTCCATCCCAGTGGTGGGCATGCAGGAGGCAGCTGATCAATGATTCTCATCATTGATGTTTCTATCTCTCTCTCTCCCTCTCCCTTCCTCTCTGAACTAAAAGTATATTTAAAAAAATTTTCCTCATTGAAAATGCAGGTTTTCTAAGACATTCTTAAACTGGGGTCCATGGAATTAGGTAGGAAGAACATACCACAGTGTGTGTGTGTGTGTGTGTGGTGGTGGGGAAGTACAAGGTATTTATTTTCAGTAATCTGAACCAAAATTTAATGTTTATTTTAATTATGATAGGGAACACGTCACAGTTGGGCGGCAGGGGGGGGGGGGGTCGCGAAAGGTACTTATTTTCAGTAACCTGCACTAAAATTCAGTGTTTCTGTTCATTATGAATGTAGGGAACACATACCACAGTGGTATCACAGAACCTGTGAGTTTGTTTCAACAGAAAACAGATTACTGTCATGGGTGTTAAGGCTGTTGCATTACTGGAAATTCTAGAAATTACCTGACCAGCTGCTACATCTTACTGTGTTCATAAAGAAGCACGTGTCACTTTATCACAAATGTTTTTGCTTTTGATAACTATCTCAATGCAGTTTATTTCCCGGTATTCCTATGCATTTCCTTTTATGTATTTAAATAGTTTCGGTTTTGCAGGGCTCTATGGCACAAAAAAGGTTAAGCTCCCCTTCTCTAGAAGGATCTAACAGTTCCAGGAGTGATTTACGACCTGAATACCAGCTTGCCTTCACTGTATACACAGACTCGCCTCTTCTGCAGCCATACCAGCCACATCCCACTTGAATCTTAAAACAGCAGGAGCTCTGTTTGCTTGCGCAGTAAAAAGTACTTCTACATCCAGACCACCATTGGCAAATACTGAAACCGTATTTGCCAAAGAGTGAGAGGACTGTTATGAACAATTGCTGGGCATGCTTAAGTGAACCCTTCCCAAAAGGAAAAAAAGCAAAGTCCAGAGGATTACAGAGCAAGTAAAGCTGACATCCTCCCACCCCACCCCCACTCCGAATTTTAGGAATGTTATCTCCCAGCATCTAGTTATCCAATAAGTTGGAAGAATG